TATTGATCTCTTCAGTGAATTTATATTTATCGACCATTGTGAGGTAAATATGTGTTAATGTGCATTTTATTGTTAACAAGTCAGTTCCCATTTGCTGATAACTTGTTTAGCGAAATCATTGTTCTAAAGAGCTAATGCATTTTTAACTTGACTACTCGGCGTCAAATAAGGATTCTTGAATCTTGTAAACGTGCTCAGCCTGCCAATTATCCCGTGCACAATGCCTCTTTAACGTTAAGGAGATCCCGACTTAAGGCGGTTACAGGCATGTTGATCTGGAAGGACAATGTGTCGCGTTTGTAGTACGTAATTCCTAAACAGTTGTCGTATATGATTTACTGTTGATATCCACGTGTATCAGCGTCATCAGAGTATAAATAACCTTGGGTCCAAGAATCTAAACCCCCTCCTGTTTTTTCAAACCCCTTCTCTTCCCACCTGGTCAGGCCCCATGACTTGGCTGATTGTGAAACATTGTAACATTGTGATTCTCATTACTCATATAAGTATTACTCTCTGGGCTGGGGGCGATGGGGTAGCCTAGTGGTTAAAGCGTTCGCACATCACGCCGAAAATCCGGGTTCGATTCACTACATGGGTGCAATGGGTGAAGCCCGTTTCCGGTGTACCCGGCGTGATATTGCTGGAATATTGCTGAAGGCAGCGTAAAACTAAACTCACCCTCTCACTGTACTGACTGTCCTAGAATATTGCAACGAGACAATATTCGCTCACTTACACAGTTTGATACAGTTTCATTACTACTGGTTTTAATACTCTCATGGAAACATCAAGTTCGTGATCAAGGCAATTTGTATCAAAATGACGGATTCCTGTACTCCTTAATGGAAACAATCAGATTTCGTTAAAAAAACCAACACTACTATTTCCTATTTCCGGTTCGGCGAAGAGCCAGACACGCAAACATTTCATTAGATTTAACAAGCTTATTACACGCCGGAAGTGACGGCTTAGTGGTGCATGCCGGGATGTTCTGTAACTGTACCTCGGTCAACATGGCGACTCCCAGCGTAGGATGAACACGGCGGTAACATTATCCTTGCAACTAGTCACATTAACCGGTATCCGATCAGGTCATGGGTTCGTCGGTTTGGATGGAAAATGGTAAAGAGCGATGCGAAATCATGACCGCTCACTCTCTGGAAAGAGGAGACATTGGTTTGAAGGATGGGACGCTTATGGGTGGTGTCATGTTCTAACCAATTCGGATGCTCCTTAAATTATATATGGTAGTGCATGTTTGGTTTTGCGAAACTTGATGTGCATTTGAAATGATGATTAAAGGACGGTGAAAGATTAGAAGATCTTTACGCCTACGATAAGTTGTATGAAATATGTTAATAATAAACATAATGATAATAATAAGAGTACTTTTAGAACGCCTCATCCACATCACTGAGGGACATGCTTTAAGCGCATACAAGTCACAGTTCATTTTTACCCCGGATAACCCAAGCTGCCTGTGAGGAGGTTGATAGTCACATGTCTTATCCCACCTGGTACCCATTTTCTGCTGGTAAACAGAGGCAATTTTGAACAAAGTCACTTGCCTAAAGTGAGACCACATGTATCACATGTGCTTCGATGAGGGGCATGATTGAAGTCCTAGAAACTGACAGGTGTCAAGCCGCCAAACACGGTCACCCATCCATGGACTCTCCGCGCCCAACGTTGCTTAACTTCAACTGATTTGTGACCTGAGGTGAGGTGAAATTGGGTTTAACGTCGTGCTTGAGAATATTTCGCTCATATGACGACGTGCATGCGTGTGTATGTGTATGTGCGGCTGCTGGTACTAGCCCAGACTGAAGCTTGTTTTATAGTGCTGGCCCACTGAGATACCATGCCGCAGTGAAGCATGAATACCCCACTCAGACACATTATACTGACTCCGAGCCGACCAGTCCTTGTTGTACCCATTAATGCCGAGCGCCAGGCAGAGACCAACAAGTACCATATTTTAACGTCTTTTGGTATGACGCGGTCGGGGATCGAACCCGCGACCTTCCGCTCTCCGGGCGGACGCTCTAACCACTACACCACGGAGGCGGTAATTTTTGTGACCTGAGCTCTAGGCACAGGACCACATGCCACCACAAACAAACGTAGAAACACTACAAGGGACAAATGTACAGGTAACTAACTACCTGGGGCCAACCGGTGCCAAAGTTTTGCCAGTGACAGTGCCAGTTTTTTTCCTGGGACACTTACACCTCCCATACATTATTAGATTGGAATAGTGCTCAAGTCATTCATTCCTCCAAGTGTCGGGCGCACGTGGGTGTCTCTATTTGTGCCTGTGTATGCGTATGTGTTGTTGTTGGTGGTGGTGGAGACCTGTATTCCAGCCTGGAATAGACAATCCAGTGATTTATATTATGAGCAACAACCCCCGCCGTCGATGTACGAGTCTTATTAAAGTGAGTGAGTTGAGTTTTACGCCGCACTCAGCATTATTCCAGCCCTATAACTGCGGTCTGTAAATAACCGAGTCTGGACCAGTTAACCCAGTGATCAACAGCATGAGCATCGATATACGCAACTGGTCCTATTAAAGGGGTGGCGGGGTAACCAAAGAGTTAAAACCTTTTGTTCGTCATCCGTTTCTATTCCCCGCAATGCTTTAAACCAATTTCTGGTGTTCACCCACGAATTTACTGCAATAATGCTGAAAGCGGCATCGAATCACACTCACTCACCCTATATGCATATTGGTATTCATATCGAAAAGTAAAACGATTAAGGTTCACTAAGGACTCAATCTGATACAGACAACTGTGTTATTTTAAAAATTAAATAAAGTGAAAGCATTTTTTCACTCACGGTTGTTAATACAATACAACATCTCATGAAAAGTGTCTCTTGAAATAAATCACTTTAAGGGCCTGTCCTTTAAGATTAACAACACCGGAAGAATGAACAATCTCAAGTGTAATCAAACAGGTTGATGATACGGACACCCACCAAAATCAATCAGAAGATATCGATCCGTAGTATCGATGTTTGTTTTTCTCATCTCGTGCTGTGCAGAGTGGAGCTACCAGATCGATGGTCTCAATTTATCACCTTTTGTTTATTAGCATTAACAAAGCTCCACTATGCTCAAGTCCTGTGCAAACCATCCGTCGGGGAGATTGTGGCATTTATATGACTTTGTGAGCAGAGAAAATGCTTTGAGATTCAGTTTATGATCACTAATTGGCTGAATGGTCGCAGCGTTTTCATAACAGGTTTTACAAATGCGGTTCAGGTGTTTTATTAAAGATGCGGTCAGTTATTTAAAGGGGAAGTGGTTCGAGATGCAATGTGTTGCTGTTTTTCTTTCATTATTATAGAAGGGAGTTAAAACAGCAACGTTGACGTCTAAAGCCGATTTGAATTAAGTCATTTAAACGTTGCTCTCATTGTCTGATAGCCGACAATTAATGATGTTTGATCTAGTAATACGTGATTACCCAAGGTAAACAAAGATCTCTATATCATCCAGACCTGGTCCTTTGCAATATAATCATGGGTTCAAGCCTATGTTTTGAAGCATCACAGTTAACCTTGCCCTTTGCGCCAATACGTGAAACTGGAATTGTAACTGCTGAAATTTGTTTTTTGTTTTTTTGGTTTTCTTGGAGTTTTGTTTTGTTTTCTCTCTTTTTTGTTGTTTCATGTTTTGATTATCATTCATTAAGTGTTGAGTGGGGGCGTTTTCTATTATATTTTGTCAGCCTGTAATTTGTTTCTCTCAAGACTTTCCTGTTTGTACAATCTTGTGCGCCTTCTAAGGATGAAGCCACACTTGGTACATACAGAAATGATAGATGTTAACACCGGTATCAAGCAAGTGATGCTTCACCGAAACGTATAGATTGTAATAAAGAAGTTGTATATCGATAGAACTACCCCCTTGTTCCGCACTGAGTGATTAACAGATAAGTGCAAGTGCTAATCCCAAAGCGACACGACTTGCCTTGGTAATGCCTAATCCTTAATGGGTTATTATATTCATCCCGTCAATGAGCGAGATGATTCAACAATGGCACACATGTCATAGCTGGTTAACTAGGATATCTGTTAAGTAGAGAGGTTCTCTCAAGGGGCATTTATTTTCTACAAAGCAGGGTTTTGCTGTATTTGAAACTTGCATGTGTACTAGCTTTAGAATTGATCTTCAGCAAGCCATGCTTGTAAAGCCATGCTTGTAAGTAGCCATTAACGGGATCGGGTGGTCAGACTCTCTGACTTGGTTGACACGTGCAGATCGTCGCTCATGCTGTTGATCACTGGATTGTCTGGTCCAGACTCAATACCACCGGCGATCGAAAAGGAAAAGTGTTCTTACTTTTTAACTGTCATCTGTTTTGATACAGAGTAATCTCCCTTTCAGGTAGATTTTCAAGTATATGTTTACATAACGCATATAATTAGTGGACGATAAAAACGAGAAACTGCAAAACACGCTTACAGTAAAATATTTTACATAAAAGGATTGAAATAGCCACAAATAATCGCATTTTTCTGTAAATTTTCAAGAATATTTATTATTTTTGTATAAAATGTCATAACAGACCGATAGAAGCGTATTAACATAAATAATGTTAACTCAAAGCATCTGAATCTTCCGTCACTTTGTTCCTTTCATTTTCTATGTACTGTGTGCTTATTTTTGGTACACTAACCAGACAGTTAAAATATTGAAGTTTATCATGCGGTATTTTATTCCTAAGTTCTAATCTCTTGAAACCTGAGCTTCGCGCACAAGCACTCGATCAGTAGGTGTGGGTTTTGACTGTCAGCGTCCTTTAGTAGTTAATATCTAATTACGATTCTGCTCTTTATAACCTAATTAAACAGTATCATTAAGAATATTTACACAAGACAAAAATACGCGCACAAAACCTGAAAAAGTTAGTCGGCAAGAGTAATTGTCCCACAGGGGCTTAGTATCAAAGGGAGGCAACTACTACACAGGTGCTTGTTAATTCACTATGGCGCGAAACCCGAATAATGCAAGTAACAAAAATGAGAAATTTCCGTTATTCACTATATAAAAGGGAGATAATTGATTAAGGAAAGAATTGTTACGCCATGGTGTAGAAATACCTCTTGTGACAATGCACCCGCCCCAGCCTACACAAAATGAGATGAACTCTTTTCCGTCTCCCTCCGCCTCCCGGCCTTAACACAGCACGTGCTCTATTCAACGCACCCAGTGAGGCTTGGCGAGAACAATCGCCTCGAAGAACAGCATCTGTCGGGGTAGGGATGGCCAAATGGTGGCGCGTTTGTGTCGACACAATATCCACTCCGGCTTATCATAGGTTATATAAAAGTACACTTGCAATCCCAATGACACAAATTTACATGAACTAGAAATATTTTGAGTCAATGTAGTTTTCGTCTTTGAATGGGAAACTCTGTTCAGCGGAACTCCTGCACAATATGAAAAAGGGGTTGGGCTGTAGTATAAAATACAAAATATTCAACCAGTATCCCTATAGGAATAGATGCAATCGGCTCCTTACAGTATACCGGTATTGAGTGAGTGAGTGAGTTTAGTTTTACGCCGCACTCAGCAATATTCCAGCTATATGGCAGTATACCGGTATTGAGAATCGATCCCGGAACGGTAATCCGATAACATACACTAGACTGTATCGAACATTGTGTCTATGCGCTTCATGTGGGGAAGATGAAGTTTCGGTTCATCTTCAGCAACCCATGCTGACTTGTTTGTGTGGTATTTTTAGAAGTTGAGACGTACAATATGGAACACGTTTTATGGATAACATGCTGGTCGTAAGAGGCGACTAACGGGATCGGATGGTCAGCCAAGATCGGTGCTCACGGAAGGCTAGACACAATTATTTACAACCCGTTGCCAAATAGCTGGAATATTGCTGAGTGAGACTTTAAACCTCAAAGAAATCAAGTGCACTTCTTCATTATTATGCGAGAAAACTGTAACTGATAACAAAAGGTATAATTTCTTTATTGCATGTTGATAATAAAATACGGCGATCTCTGAAGTACATGCTCCAAGTACATCACCGCATATATATCTGTATACAATAGAGGATCGAGGAACGATAATACAAATATACACATACAGAGGATATGAAACAACCAGACATTGTACCGATTATTTTATGTTAGGCAATGCGAATCAGAGACCCTTATGTGTAATTTTATAGTAATTGATGAGTTAGGCCGCCGGTTTTAGCAATATTCCAACTATATAGAAAAAGAAATGCTTTTAATGCCATGTCCATGTTGATGCCTTAACATATGTTCTTTTACCTTAGTAAGTAAGACTGTATCTTTTCTTTAAGTGGTATGGGGGCAGTGGGGTAGCCTAGTGGTTAAAGCGTTCGCTCATCACGCCGAAGGCCCGGGTTCGATTCCCCACATGGGTACAATATGTGAAGCCCATTTCTGGTGTCGCCCGCCGTGATATTGCTGGAATATTGCTAAAAACGGCGTAAAACCATACTCAGTCAGTTTAAATGGTATGACGAAGATGGAAAGGTTTTATGGATTGACAACTTCTTTATTGTAACAAATGCGATATTTCGGTGTAGATGCTAACACCGTTGTCAGGCAAGTTCAATAAGGAAGTTGTCAATCCGTAAAACCTGTGTTCTTACATTTGTAACCATTTCAACAATCTCAACAATACTGAGAAGTTAATATATATCACACAGAGTGATGCTCAGTAAGCACTTTACCAAGAACACTGGCATACACGTATAAACGAAAAATATCTTTCATGTCGTAATTGTGTGCGAACATTTTAATGACATATGACGACCTTGAGGGTGATTGATATAACCCTTGGATTGTAATGGATTTACTGTGTCTTGTTCTATAAGTCTTGTGACTGGACATTAGTATTGTATGTTTTACCAAACATTGTAATCAATATTTATTATAACCAATTCCTTGTTTTATCAATCACTGCAACTGTAAGTGCGACACACGGAAAAATAATAAGATTTAACGTTTTGTGTCTTCTCTATGAACATATAATGTTTCAGAGGACAAAAATGAATTATTGTTCTGTGAATTATGCTAAGACAAAGATGTTGTATAGTCATGTGCTTTTAATAGATTTTTTATGTCAATTCCAGACAAGATGCCAATCAAAACAACAACCATCGACCTGAAGATGGATGACGATTTTGATGAACCGCTGAGTGACATAGATCTCGACCTTGACTTTGATGAAGACGATGACCTTGATGATGAAAGTGAAGGTGAGGATCGCCCCGACTCCACAACGGACGACAGGGATGGGAAGAAGAAAGAAAAGAGTTCCAAAAGAAAGGAAAGAAATGCGATAAAAACTCTGACGAGCCTCGCGTACCCAAGAAACGGGGTCCAAAGAAGAAGCGGATGACCAAAGCCCGTCAAGCGAAACTGCGCCTGCGCAGAGTGAAAGCCAATGCACGTGAGAGGAACAGGATGCACGGGCTGAACTCTGCACTGGATGACCTCAGAACGCATGTGCCATGCTACTCCAAAACTCAGAAACTTTCGAAAATTGAAACTCTACGTCTTGCGCGGAACTACATTTTCGTTTTGGGCGACATACTGAAGAACGGCGTTCGCCCTGATAGTGTGACGTTTGCCAAATCCTTGTCGAAAGGAATGTCCCAGAACACAATGAACATGGTTGCAGGGTGTCTCCAACTCAATCCAAGAACTCTTCTCCCTGAAACCCCCTACCCCAAACCTTACCAGTTCATGTACGAAAACGCTAACGAGTTTAGTCCTTCCATTGGAAGTGATTCCTTCGCTCCCGCTTTCCCTTCCATCACAGACCATGGCATGCCCTGCGGCCAGCAGCGCCACCTGTCTCCGGCCCAGTTATCTCCCTTCCAGCATCCCGCGCATGTAAATGTGTCTGTGTCTAATCAGGTGATGCCGTACAACTCCATGCATCAAAGGAACAGTCACCACGGCGGAAACAGAGAACCATCCCTCCCGACAGGAACCATGACGTCTTCCAACTACATGCGTTGCGACATGACGTCGTGCGAGGCGTACCCGTCTATTCAACATCCGGGTCACGGTTTCGGCGAAGTGGTTGTGGACAGCACCCAGGACTGCAGCCAGTATGTCCTCCCTGAGGACCTCGCGGACTTCCAGCCAGAACCTGTCCTTGAACACGAGTTGGGAGTCATCAGCTCCACCAGTGGTTTGTTCGACGTGAACGTATCCGGCTGATATGACGTCATAGTAACGCCCTCATCAACCAGTCCCTCCACCGCACTCACATCTTTGTAATTTAAATGTGAAATCATTTAATTGACATAAATCCGGCGGCAGACATTTTAGCAATAATCAGAGACAATCCACCCAACACTGAATAATTAATACAATAGCACAGAGGCACACAGGAAGAACGTATTTAAATATTCCTTACTCATCTTTCCGTGGCACTCGGAATTGTACGAAGTTTAATTCGTGAACACTCGCACTGTGCCGTAAACATTCGTGACGCTCTTGTATTATTCCGGGACAAACCGAACCTTCATGGAGGTTACGGAAAGGGGCGAGTGCTGACGAATGAGGTTTACATTGTAACGATAGGTTCCGGAATAGCCTGAGTTGTCACGAATATTAATACATGTATGTGCCTAAGTGATTACAAATGTTACTTGAGTGATTACTGCTGTTCAGTGCATGGTATAATCAAAGGTGTATATTTAATACCCAGTGTATATAGACATATTAAGGGGTCTTACACGACTATATGTCTGACAAATGAAACATATGTTTTGATTGCTTTATTTTTCCAGGTTAGGCAGGAAGCCTAACGTATATTTTTTTCTACGGGTTGTGCAATAATCATATTTACAAATCTGTTTTATTTCCTTGTCCATTAACAGCTTGTATTATGTAGTGGTATTGGACTATGTGCAATAAGGTTTATGTGTTGTGGCTCCTACTGCAGGATCTCAGTTAGAGTGAGTGAGTTGTGTTTTACGCCGCATTTAGCAATATTCCAGCAATATCACGGCGGGGACACCAGGAATGGGCTTCACAAATTGTACCCATGTGGGGAATCGAAACCGGGTCTTCGGCGTGACGAGTGAACGCTTTAACCACTGGACTACCCCACCGCTCCATATCAGTTAGATAACTCATGGACATGTATATAATTATTGTTAGTTAGATCACCTAGCTGTGCCCAAACAATAAGTGTAAAGTGTCTCCTCCGTATATCTAAGTAGAATGAGTGAGTATAATCTAACGCCGCTTTGGAAGCTTCAATCCGGGGAAATCCCGGGGAATCGAACCCGGGCCTTCGGCGTGACGAGCGATAGCTTTAACCACTAGGCTACCTACCGCCTCTGAATCTAGATAGAATAATCAGTGTATTGCCTTATGTAAAGTTGCAATAATACGTAGTCAGTGTTATTTCAAACTATTTATGGCATGGGGCTCAGTTGTTTGAGGAGCCCCGATGCACCGTGCAGAGTTGTCTCCCTTGGTCTTTCCAGAATCAGATGAACCTGCGATCGACTCTATTCTTCATCCGGGATATGTGTCTGGATTTGTCAAAACATTTCTTTCAAAGTTAAACGTCCAATGCTTTCATCACTTCAGGCATCAAGATGAAGCTGGCGCGCCATGATATAACTGTATATCTACTAAAACGGCATTGAACTTACTTTACTTACTCTCTTAAGTTTATTGAGCACACGAGTCAACATGCCCTAGCAGTAGGCGCTGAATGATCTCTACAACAGTTACATTGCCTTCGTCTGTCAACATTTGCTTACTCCTATGACTTCACATGCCGACCTCTGACACCAACCCTACATAACTATCTTAATGCCATGAAATACTGCCAACATATACTCATCAGCAAAAGAAACGCAATTCAAGAAATCAAAACAATCGTGTTAAAGTATCAAATCCATGCTGAAAAAGTATAAATTTCATGAACTCTGGGTTGTGGCGTTTTTATTGCTGGTCATTATATCTAGTCTGGGCGATATTATATTTACTAGATAACTGTAGATCAACGGTTTAGTGGGGTGCTATAACACAGGTTATATATTAGACAGTGGCAAGAAGATGCTGGATGATCTAGATTTTACTATGGTCTTCAAAAGTCAGTGAATTGTGCACAATGCAGTATTCCTATATCCGGCGTGTCAGCTCAATGTGGGTGATGCATCTCATTCGTTAACCACTTTAGTTGAACAGATATGAGTCGAACCCACAATCATACGTTTCCGGTGCTCCCAAGGGAGGCAACTCTGCAAAGCGAATTGCAGAGCCTGGACAACTGAGCCACTTTTTCCTTAATATTCAATAAGGATTAACTCATGAAATCTGAAATATTATATATACATGAACTGGTTAAAATACAAATGTTATTATTGTCAGTAATTTAGAATGCTTAAATTATCTGAGAATAACCATCATATTATTTATCCTATATATTCGTGTAAAGAAATTAGCGTGCCTTACATGCCTTAATCAGTGGAGTATATTTTAAAATCAATTTCAAATATATTTTAGAAAATTATATAATCAGCCTTAATCGTGCAATGTGAGTGTTTTCTAGTCAACACAAAAGTAGATGGTTTTCTATATATATATATTTATGTCTACAACTGGCCATATTGCCTTAGCCGTTTATATATTGTAACAGGTCCTTTATTTCACGTTATATGGACATTTGAAGGACCAAGTTTGGTTTAAAGCATCACATTTATCAAAATCAACTTCATAAACAAACAGCTGATCAAATATCCCATATGCTTCCTTTGAGATGAAATTCGGACTCATTCGCCACCACCACTCCCGTCCTTCAACAACCTGCTAATAAGGGTTTATCACGGAAGGACCCGAGAGGTCGCGAATGATCCTGGATTGTTCACCAATCGTTACCAGTCACCATTTTCGTAACCAACAACGTGATGTGGGACAAAAATGGTGACGTTCACGTGACGAACTTCTCGTCTCTAACGCTTCGTCAGTTATCTCCCTTTAATCATTTCGTGGAAGCAAGTTTATAGCCAACATTGCAGTGATATGAATATGCATTTTTGTCAGTATTGAGAAACAATCAGTATTTGTGTGATTACAAACTGCTGATAGTGATTGTTGAATAGTTAGAATGTCTTCCTATTATTATGATTCACAATAAAATATACCAATGAATCACGTGCTTTGTTTATTCTTTATATAGTATCTAGTGGGCAATCAGTGAGTGATTGGATCTTACGCCGTCTTTATAGACGCTGGTGGTGTGTGGTCATGTGCACAGAGCTCAGGTCACAAATCAGTTGAAGTTAAGCAACGTCGAGCTCGGATAATACTTGGATGGGTGACCGTGTTTGGCAGCCTGACTCCTGAGAGTTTCTAGGACTTCAGTCCTGCCCCACAACGAAGCATGTGATGCATGTGGTCTCACCTTAGGCAAGTGAGTTTGTTCCATTTGCCTCTGTTCACCTAGCAGAAAATGGGTACCTGGTGGGATAAAGTCATGTGACCAAATTTTCTAGCGCCTAAGAGGCAGCTTGGGTTATCCGGGGTAATAAGAATCAGATTCTGATTAAGCGCCGCGAGCAATCACTTGGTGTTTGGAGACTGTGCGCTATAGAAGATTTATTATTATTATTTAGAAATATTTAAAAATATCGGATGGGTGAGAACAGGACTTCACATATTTTGCCCATGTTGAGAATCGAACCTGGGACTTCGGCAAAACGCTTTAACCACGCTACCAAGCTACAGATGTGTAAAGAACGCGTATATCATTTCAGTGACTGAATAAAGTATTTACCCTAAATGGTAACCAGGGGTGAGTTTAGTTTTAAGCCGCTTTTAGCAACATTCCAGCAACATCACGGCGGGGGACACACGAAATAGGCTCCTCACATTGTACCCATATGGGGATTCGAACCCGGGTCTTCGGTGTGGCGAGTGAATGCTTTAACCACTAATCTACCCCACTGCCACTACCAGCCACTTATGCCATCGGTATTGTGACACAGTTGAAAATATCTCCAGATTTGATTGGAGATTGCAGCCACATGCGCAAATGACATGCAAATAAGTACGCTGTTCTTGATTAATAGAAATATTCAATATTGGTGACCATCTGAGTTTTACGCCGGTTTTACGCCGGGGACGCTTTAACCACTAGGCTACCCCACCGGCCCTTGCATTTGAGTGTCTGTTTAAACATATTTTCACGGCGTTTTTATTAAAGGTAAGTAGTGTGGCAGACATGAACCATTTTTATTATGGAATGTGATAACCTAGTATATCCCCTAGCTGCTACAGTGTTACTTATGTGTAAAAGAAGAAAATCATTATAACGTACGATATTACACCACCCACCTTTTCTGTAAGTTTTACTGTGTGTGTATGGAGCTGTATTTGATTTATGCATTGTTTTATGGATTTTATGTGACTCATAGGGAGATGTTTCATGTGATACAGAAGATTTTATATATTTTGTAAACATCTGCGTGACACAATAATAAAATAATTTATTTCTCTTAATTTATGGTTCTGTCACCTGTGGACACCGGGTGTTGAAAACAATAAATCTATAAACGGTGAAATATTAAAGGTGGTGGAAAAATACCCCGAAACACAATCCCGTCCCCTCACTTCCCACCCATTAAATCAAACACTAGTCTCGCCCATACAATACATGTCTACAGTTACTGTCGCTTTAAATTCATCATTCCATTTGCGAATTACCACTCAATACTGACGCTGAGAACATATTTTACTCTATTCATCCTCATCCATGTCTGACCTGTGAAGATCCGTGTTAGAATTGCTCTTCAGCAACCCATGCTTGTCGTAAAAGGCGACTAACGGGATCGGGTGGTCAGGCTCGCTGACTTGGCAGACACATGTCATCGTATTCCATTTGCGTAGATCGATACTCATGCTGTTGATGACTGGATTATCTGCTCCAGACTCGATTATTTACAGACCGCCACCATAGAGCTGAAATATTGCTGAGTGCGGCGTAAAAGTAACCTCACTCACTCATCCTTGCCTGGAACGCCTCCTTGGTCTTGTGGATGGAGCGTCTGTTGGTGGTTCGAATCCAGGCCGCAGCATACACAAATACTTTAAAGATGGTACTTGTTTCTACCCTGCCTGGCGCTCACCGTTATGGGAATAAAACAAGCATTGGTTGGCTCTGAGTCATTATAATATGTCTGTCGGTTAACCCATGTTGCAGTATGAGTTGTTATCTCATATGGGCTATAAAACAATAAAACTGATATTTGTTCGGACTAACAGAGCCTCGCACACACGTGCATGAACGTAAGTGCATTAAGTCCATAAACCACATTAAGCGCACCTGTCATCCTGCTAGTTAACTGTCTCCCCATAAATTCTTTAACTACGGGGGGAGTGGTGTTGGTGGTGTTTCATAGCCAGTGGTTGGTGAGGTGAAATGGTAAGAATATGACGACATGCATGCTTGTGTATGTGCGGCTGCTTGTACTAGCCAAGACTTAAGCTGGTTTTATAGTGCTAGCCCATTGAGATACCATGCCGCAGTGAAGCATGAGTACCCCTTCAGACACATTATACTGACTCCGAGCCGACCAGTCCTTGTTGTACCCATTAATGCCGAGTGCCAGGCAGGGACCAACAAGTACCCTATTTTAACGTCTTTTGGTATGACGCGACCGGGATCGAACCCGCGACCTTCCGCTCTCCACCTACACCACGGAGGCTGTTGACAGTGGTAGTGATTAGAATTATATCTGTGTACACACAAGCAGTTATCATGTCCGCTGAATGGCTTCCTGCATTTAGTTTTAAAGTAGGAGCGGTGGGGTAGTCTAGTGGTTAAAGCGTTGACTCGTCACGCCGAAGACCCGGGTTCGAATCCCCACATGGGTACAATGAGTGAAGCCCATTTCTGGTGTCCCCCACCGTGATATTGCTGGAATATTGCTAAAAGCGGCGTAAAACCAAACTCAGTCAGTTAGTCAGTAGTTTTAAAGTTTCGGTCATGCA